AAAAGAAGGGAGAACAATCATGCCATTTAGTGCATGAGTGATGGTCCCATTTCGTAAATTCATATCGTATATCAACGGTCATGTAATACATTGTCCGAAATAACGATGCAGCCATAATTTACGAAATGAACCTATTTTATATATTAACAGAAATATATTTGAACAGTATATTTGAAGATTGTCATTTCAATATCAAAGTGCTAAGACTCCCAAGAGTGGGTTGTGCAATTGTTCTACATTCATTTAAGTGGAGAGCATAGATGAATTGACGTACGCTTGCTACGTTTCCTATCTTTCCGCAACTTTTGTTGTGAAACATTATTAGATAATTTACATAGAATAAATAACATTGAGGCTACGATAATTTGTTCAATGTAACACGTATGAATTATAATTATAGCTTCGTTTCAAATATAGTAAATGTGGCGTATTTTGAAATATATTATTTTAACAAATGTATATTTCAGTAGCAATATTAAAAGAAAATGTTATTATGTAATCAGGATTTATTAATATGATATGTGGACAAATGAGTTATATAATACAAAAACTTGGCAATATATATACACACCTAATTCTTTGGAGTGGAATCTTATTCTAAAAAATGAAAACTAAGTTAGTACTGATAAAGAATAGCTAATTTTTAATCTTTAAGAGTAAGCTTTCATTCTTTAGAGTGAGAATATATACATATACATATGTGTGTGTGTGTGTGTGTGTGTGTGTGTGTGTGTGTGTGCGTGCGTGCGTGTGCGTGCGTGTGCGTGCGTGTGTGCGCGCGCGCGCGCGCGCGCGCGTGTGTGTGTGTGTGTATTAAAGGAGACACTGTGTTATTATTTCAACGATAAATTACGAATATATATAGTGAAATTTTAATAATTATATTTTAGCTTTTTCGTGTTAATTAAAAGAAGCGATGGCCAAAATGTAGTTTCATCTTTTTAATGTAAAGGAGATGAATATCACTTTCTCAATAAAGTTATACAAAGAAAATTTAATTTTTTCTATACTCTTATTCGCACGATATCCTCGAAATACACACACGCACACACACGCACACACGCACACACACACACACACACACACACACACACACACACACACACACACACACACACAGGTGTCCAATTGTAACTTTCACATCAAATTAAATATCTTGAAAAATATAGAATATAAGCACAAATAAGAAAAAATATTGACTATAAAAAATCAATTTTTTTTATAGTAATACGAAAGTCAAAGCAATTTTTAAAAATAGGATTATAAAACCTTTTTTCATATGATTTCTTTAGTGATTCTGTATATAAAATTATTAAGGTAGAGATATCGAAAAATCAATAGTTTACGAGATATTTTATAATTTATCTTGTGTAAAATATAAAATATATTGTAAATTATCCATTTTTTATACGTGCATTAAGGAGTTTCACCTGAATTGGATCGAAAATTGGATAATATTAAATACTTTTTTTAAGTTCTTCGTCAATTTTATAAAAATTTGCAAGGGTTTATTATACGTTTGTGTTTATTATTTATGATTATGATTCTTTTTATTAAAAGATTAATTATTTTATTTTCAGAAAATTTTATTAAATTAGTGTCTATGATATCTTATTTTATTTAAAATAAAAAACCAAAAAGCGTTATAAAAAATATTTTTCTACAAGATGAATCTCGATAAAAAAATTTAAAAAATTGCTAAAGTTAAAGTTTAGTAAATACAATAAAGTACGAGTTTTTTAATTTCTTTTTTATTTTTGGATGCGCCTAAAAAATGTTTAATTTAAAAAGGTCAATAGTTTTATAAGTTCATTCCCGACAGAAATTTGTTTAACGAAATCAATCTCTTTAAATTTGAACTCTATTATTTCTCGAAATATGATGCTCACCGATTTTGAAAATCGCATCGTTTAGAAAAAAATGCGTTCAAGGTCCGATTTTCTTAAATATTTCTAAGT